AAACTCAGCAAAAAATTTAATTCCCTTTCTAGGAAGCTATCAGGTAAAGTATGCATATCTACTGATTTCATTATAGTGGTGTTCTAACTTGATTTAGAAAGATAAGTTTTTTTAAAAAAATAACCTTTTGATTTTGAAATAATTTTGAATTATAAAAGTTGCAAAGATAATACAGCTTTGGGGTACCCTTCATTCATTTTTCCCCTGTTGTACCATTTTACATCCTTGTGGTACATTGGTCAAAGCTAAGAAACTGACATCGGCACACTACTACTAATTTATTTGAATTTCAACAATTTTCCCACTTATTGTCCTCTTTTTGTACCAGGAGTCAATCTAGGTTACCACACTGCATTTAGTTGTCATGTCCCTATGTTTTCCTCTGGCCTGTGACAGTTTCTCAGTCTTTCCCAATGCTCATGATCTTGAAATTTATCAAGAATGCTAGTCTGCTATTTAAGAATCCTCAATTTAGGTTTGAAAAATGTTTTCCTTATGACTGAAAACCATGTGAACCTTTGAAAGGAATACCAAAGAGGTGACGTGACTTTCTCATCACATCATATCAGGGAGTCCATGATATCCACATGACATCACACTGATGATATTAACCTTCAACGTAATTGTTTAGATAAGAAAATGTTTGCCAGATTTCTCTATGGTAAAGTTACTATTTTTACCAGAATTGGACACTTTAGGAAAATATTTCAGGCTAGATCAATGCCACAGGAGACAGTTATGCTGTTAGTGAAACCAAACTGTGAAGGAGTCTTGTCATATACTGTGTTCACATTTTAGAATAAGTAAATTTGAAACATTCAGCTAGTGGAATTATAGACAGATTTTTTAAAATCACTCCTCTCTGGAATTTTTTTTTTTTTGTTGTGCTGATTCTTTATTGCTGCATGCAGACTTTCTCAAGTTGCAACAAGAGGGGAGGGGCTACTTTCTAGTTGTGGTGTGTGGGCTTCTCATTTCAGGGGCTTCTCTTGTGGAGCACAGGCTTAGTTACCCCATAGCATGTGGAATCCTCCGGGACCAGAAGTCGAAGCTACGCCCCCTGCATTGGCAGGCATATTCTTAACCACTAGACCACCAAGGAAGTCCAAAAAATTATTTAATTAATTAAATAACTTTTTTTTTGGCCACACCACTCAGCATGCAGGATCTTAGTTTCCCAGTCAGGGATGGAAGCCATGTCCCCTGCATTGGAAGTGAGGCATTTTCACCACTGAACCACCAGGGAAATCCCCTGAAAATTTTAAATCATATATCACAGAGCATTGTTATAATAACATAATGGTTAGAAGTCATTTCCTCTGGGTTAGAGTCCCAGGTTTCAATATCTGATGAATTTGGGGAAGTTCCTTAATCTCTTTGCACTTGTTTCCTTATTTGTAACCTTAAAAAGTACCACAAATATAATAACAAATACGTTCACAGAGATGCTTGAAAGATTGAATGAGTCAATATTTGTATAACTCTTAGAAGAGAGCTTGGAATTTGGCATCAAATCATTGTGCTGCATCTTGGGGTGGGTACAGAGGCTTAGTAACTTGCCAATGGTATGCGACAACTAAATAAATTAAACAGCATCTTTTGTATTCACCCAGAACCCTGTGTACTCTTATAACTTGTCAGCTACCATGTTTGCTGAAGAAAAAAAGCAAATTTTCAGTGTTAAATTTGTGCTGTAGACAAAAGTTAAGAGAGATTAGAGGAAAAATAGTCTCTTCATGCTTTTCTGACTTCTATAAACTTTAGAAACTAAGCCTGCATTACTTATAATTAGAAAACAAAACAACACATTTTACAACTTTTAAAGACTAACTTTTGTATACCTGGCCTGTTTCCCATGAAATCATCCAAAATAATTGATAACAAGGGAAGAAATAACACAAATTCTCAATTATTTCTGAGCTTATCACCATATTTTATCACCTTTATGTTGTTTTTTTCATTTCTATTGCTTAATACAAACATTATGCCTCAGACAGTAAAGAATCAGCCCCAAATGTGGGAGACCTGGGTTCAGTCCCTGTGTTGGGAAGATCTCCTGGAGGAGGGCAAGGATACCCACTAGTATTCTTGCCTGGAGAATTCCATGGGCAGAGGAGCCTGGAAGGCTACAGTCCATGGGGTCATAAAGAGTTGGACAGACTAAACGACTTTCACTTTCAATACAAATGTTAATACTCCTTTAATGTCCCAGGTTTTTCTTTCAGGATCATACTGGAAAACACTAGAATATTTTTAAAGACAGTTGTTCATTTTAATAAGACTTTTCCAAGAAATCAGGTGAAGAGTCTTGAATTCAAACTCCTTTCTAAGAGATGAGGTGATTGAAAGTAAGGCCACAAAATAAATCAATGATATGTCTGAAAAGTAACAACAAAAAGCAAACAAGCAAAACCACCCAAATCCCACGTAAGTACATCTCCTAGTAGAGTGTAACTGTGCATACTTTTTGAAAAAACTAATACAGAAATTTTTTAAATATAAAAAGAAAAATAGAAAGGTGAACATTCCCATTACTTTTTTCTCTTTATCATAAGATTCATAACAGATAGTGTTTGTGCTTAGGTTATGTTGAAAAAAACTATTTCTATTTTATCTGTTTAACAAACATTTATAAGGCATTTATTCCCAGTCAACTCTCACACATGTTAACTCACTTCTCATAACCACTGTGAGGTGAGCAAGGAAACATTTAACAGTGTGCAGGTTCAGTTCAGTCGCTCAGTCGTGTCCGATTCTTTGTGACCCCATGGAATGCAGCACGCCAGGCTTCCCTGTCCATCACCATCTCCCAGAGTTTTCTCCAACACCACAGTTCAAAACCATTAATTCTTTGATTCTCAGCTTTCTTTTCAGTCCAACAACCATACATGACTACTGGAAAAAACATAGCTTTGACTATACAAGCCTTTGTTGACAAAGTACTGTCTCTGCTTTTTAATATGCTGTCTAGGTTGGTCATAGCTTTCCTTCCAAGGAGTAAGCGTCTTTTAATTTCATGACTGCAGTCACCATCTGCAGTGATTTTGGAGCCCCCCAAAATAAAGTCTGACACTGTTTCCATTGTTCCCCCATCTATTTGCCATGAAGTGACAGGACCAGATGCCATGATCTTAGTTTTCCGAATGTTGAGTTTTAAGCCAACTTCTTCCCTCTCCTCTTTCACTTTCATCAAGAGGCTCTTTAGTTCTTCTTTGCTTTCTGCCATAAGGGTGGTGTCATCTGCATATTGGAGGTTATTGATATTTTTCCTGGCAATCTTGATTCCAGCTTGTGCTTCATCCAGCCCAGCATTTCACATGATGTACTCTGCATAGAAGTTAAATAAGCATATAAGTTAAATAAGCACAATATACAGCCTTGTGTGTAGGTAACAGATAGCAATGAAAGTGGCACCGCTGTAGGCTGGCTGCCTGTGGGATATGAGTTATCACCCACTGAGCTGGGCTGCCCAGAGCCCTGTTCCTAGATGCCTGTCCCTAGGCCAGGGGCCACTTTTTTCTTCTTTTCCCACTCTTAGGATATTCCACATCTCCAGGAGGTCTGAATCCAACCTGGAGCTTTTGTTCAGTTGCTAAGTTGTGTCTAACTCTTTGCAATCCCATGGATTGCAGCACGCCAGGCTACCCTGTCTTTCACCATCTCCTGGAGTTTGCTCAAACTCATGTCCATTGAATCTATGATGCCAACCAACCAGCTCATCCTCTACTGCCCCTTCTCCTCCTGCCCTCAATCTTTCCCAGCACGAGTCTTTTCCAATGAGTCCACTTTTTACATCAGGTGACCAAAGTATTGGAGCTTCAGCATCAGTCCTTCCAGTGAATATTCAGGATTGATTTTCCTTAGAATTGACTGGTTTGATCTCCTTGCTGTCAAAGGGACTCTCAAGAGTCTTCTCCAACACTATAGTTTGAAAGCATCTTCAGCCAACCTGGATAACTACACTTAAACCTCTAGACTTCATGTTGAGTCAATGCAAGAACCCTAAAACGTCTGATGAAAAAATAGTAAAGGCATCAGGTGAAAAAACTGAAATTTCTGGTCAGAAAAGAGAGACATCAATATTTCAAGAAAAAGGAGGACCAACTCTGACGGTCCCCCATCAGTGAATGGAACAGGATTTTATGTGTGTTTTCATCTTTATTTCATCAGCACACATCCGTGCAAGGGTGCTATGCTTCAGAAAGCACTCTTTACTGTCCACGTGCTATTTTGTACAAAGACAGACAAGAAGAGGAGACCCTGACCAGCTCGCCCACAGCTTCAGAGTGACCACCAATCCCATATTCTCAGACCAACTCTGAACACTTCTTACCTGGAAAAGGAGATCTGTCTCGAATTTTGAAAGTTCCAGTGTTGCTAAGAGAATATTGAGTTGAGAAGAACACAAAAGGTCACAAAGACACAAAAAGGACACAAAAGAGGTCCTTTTACAGCCCTCAACTTTCACTGAAATTAACCCAGAATTCAGCTTTTGACACTGATCCCAGTTCTCATGTATGAAATGAGCAAAATTGAATGTAGAGAGGCAGAGGATAGATAACTAAACAAAATCTACCTGCTTACTTCACTTTGATTTCCCCGGTAAAGTAAAGAAAACTAAGTCTCTCTCTAAGACCATCTCCCCAGCCCTGTGGGGGTCTCTCCCCAGTGTCCCCAGAGCTCTCCCCTCTCCCTGCCCCGCGACCAGGGTGGCCTGAGACGCACAGCCCCCATCCGGGCTGGAGCCCCAGCGTGGCGGCGACTCACCGTTGCGTAGGGATTTGGGTACGGGGATGACACCCCAAGTGCGCTGATTACGCGTGAGACGGGCGGGGCCGCCCCTTCCTTCCGGACCTGGGATTTCCCTGACCCCGGTGCTAGCAACTCCCTTCTGATCAGGATAAAAGGGGTTCACCCGGCTCGGGGAGCCACAGAGCCCGCTCAGCCAGCGCTCCCGCCAGCCTTCCCGCAACAGACACAGACCCTCCGAGCTGAGAGCCATGGCCCGAGCCGCGACCGCCGCCGCCCCCCGGCTCCTCCGCGCCGCGATGCTGCTCCTGCTCCTGGTGGCCGCCTGCCGGCGCGCGGCAGGTGAGACCCGGATCCCCAGGGAGGGACGGGGGTGGGTGGGTGCCCGTGAGGACAGCCGCTAACCCACCCTGTCCTTCCCGCAGGGGCGCCCGTGGTCAACGAACTGCGCTGCCATTGCCTGCAGACCTTGCAGGGGATTCACTTCAAGAACATCCAGAGCGTGAAGGTGACGCCCGCGGGCCCCCACTGCGACCAAACCGAAGTCATGTAAGTGTCACCTCTGTTGCTGTCCTCCTCATCACCACCCACCGTCCCGATGCGCCCACCCCGTCCCCCAAATGGACCTCCCATCTCACGTGGATTCTCCCTGCTCTCTGCAGAGCCACTCTCAAGACTGGTCAGGAAGTGTGTCTCAACCCCACCGCCCCCATGGTTAAGAAAATCATCGATAAGATGCTAAACAAGTGAGTTGTGGTTTTTATTCATCGTGTGACTAAAGTCGTTCTGCCTGCTGAAAGTTATATCAGAGAAACCTAGGATTTAGCTGGAGGAATGAAAAATCACTATTTCAGAATTAAATTTGCCATTAAGGTCATTAATCTGCTCTGATGCCAGAAGGACATTGCCAATGCTTTCCATCATGGCCCCTGATTCTCCCCATTCAAATGAATGTGGGTTAAACTGCTTTCATTAAAATTCACACTGGTGTTGGATAGTTCAGTTCAGTCGCTCAGTGGTGTCCAACTCTTTGTGACCCCAAGGACTGCAGCACAACAGGCCTTGGTCCATCACCAATTTCCGGAGTTTACCCAAACTCATGTCCATTGAGTCTGTGATGCTATCCAACCATCTCATCCTTTGTCATCCCCTTCTGCCTTCAATCTTTCCCAGCCTCAGGGCCTTTTTAAATGAGTTAGCTCTTCCCATCAGGTGGCGGAAGTATTGGAGCTTCAACTTCAGCATCAAATAGAATTGGTTATTTGTAGCCAATAATACCGTGAATACTGCAGGCCCCACCTCCATTCCTAAATAAAAGTATCAGAGAGCCTAGAGGCATCTGCCACACAGTATAGCAGGTGGCAGGCAGTAACCACTTGATGCCAGGCTGGGAAGACTGGACTCAGAAATCTCTGGAACCCAGGGAGAGGGAAAGGAGAAGAGTGCTGCTTCAGTCTTCTGGAGCAGCTTCTAAGGAAGCCCTTTTCTTTTTGCAGGGCCAACTCCAACTGACCAGGTGGAAAACGGAAGCTCTTGGATGGCTGTTCTAGAAGTAGGCCCTGCCCCTACAGAAATCAAAGAGGGAAAAGAGGAATCACCAGCTCCTAAGGCCACCTGGATCAGGCTTAATATGTTCGAACATCTCTTAGGAGGGTTCTTCTACTTATTTATTTACTTATTTATTTATTTATGTGTTGCTTGGGTTTCAAAGATTCTATGTTAATATTTACATGTGACATGATTAAGGATGTGATCAAATCTACTTGTACATCCTATCATTATTGGCATTATTTATTTTCTGAAAAAAAAATTTGTTTAGTCCTGATTCTTACTGAGTTTGAAGTAGAAGGTTTGCAAATGTTTGCCAGTCATTAAATTAATATTTCTGAGGAGCCCACATTATGCTGGCCCTTGTGTCAGAAGCTGGAGGATGGAAACAGATAGTGAACTCATTGTCGGGTGGGGGGATGCATGTTTTTGTAAATGTTTTTGTAAATGCATGTGTTTGTAAATGTTTAAAAGAATGTTATTTATTGAAATGATTTCACAGTATGTGGTCAGCATTTCTCTTGTTGAAACCTTAAGAGCTGCAATGTTCTAAATACCCTTTGGACATTTTATGTCTTTCTTGTAAGGCACAATGCCTTGTTTCATGTTAATTATGCAGTGCTTTTCTATGTCTGAGAAAAGAGAAGTTTAAATATTTATTGATGTTTTTACAAAGAACATGAAAATAAAATATTTCAAACTAAACACTGTTTATTTCATTTTTTTCTGAGGAAAAAATTCTACCTTTACTGGATAAATCTGATTATTTACATCACGTTTCTTAGCTTCTTTTTCTCTTCTTGGCCATTCATTTGCTACATAAATAAATCAATCTATAAGTTATATTTAATTTCATCTGCTGACAGATGTCACTCCCCTTGGCCCTCACCAACCCAAGAATGTGCTTTTCCAAACTGTGCACTGGCCCCTTCCCATTAGTGTGAGAGTCGCTATAATATTATGAGAGCAATAATAATATATTGCTGTTTTTTATAAGGAGCTTCTTGCTCCCTTGCTGCTCAAGTATACCTCTTTAAAAATTTCTTTTCTAAAATTCTTGTAGCTATCTTTTTTAAAAATGCTACCTGTTCTTTATTTAAAAAAAATAATTATTTATTTATTTGGCTGTCTTGGGTCTTAGTTTTGGCACGCAGGATCTTTTGTCTTCACTGCGGCATGTGGGCTCTAGTTCCCTGACCAGGGATGGAACCCTGGTCCCCCTTCATTTGGAGTGCAGAGTCTTAGCCACTAGACCACCAAGAAAGTTTCTCTTGTAGCTATCTTAAAAACAACCCTCATTTCATTGTTTTGACTAAAGGATTTTTCAAACAACTATTAATAATTTAATGAAACTGGCAGTGAAATGATAATAAAAAGGATTTTTTTCTTCCGGACTCAAATATTTTGTGTCATCAACAGAAGCACAAAAAGTGAGTGGCTGATTAATCTATAAAAGATCTCATTGACATTTGGGTTCAGTTTTCTAACTTTCATTTATAAGTATCTCTGAGTTTGGGTTTCCTTGGTGGCTCAGATGGTAAAAAAAAATCTCACCAAAGAGTTTAAGGTTATCCCAACCCTTTACATCAGTTTATCAAATGCAGTAAAATGGTTTTAAGATTTGAATGTGTTAGTTACCACCCTTCAGCATGTTTTCCTCTCCTTATACTAGAGTAGGATCTCCAGTCAGTCAAGAGAACAGGTTTTTATGTCAGTTTATCTCCCTTTAGCTATCTACATGCCTCTAGAGCTTTCCCAGTGGCTCAGAGGTAAAGAATTCATCTGCCAATGCAAGAGACAGAAGAGATGTGAGTTCGATCCCTGGGTTGATGATGCCCTGGAGTAAGAAATGGAAACCAGCTCCAGTATTCTTGCCTGGAGAAGTCCGTGGACAGAGGAGCCTGGCAAGCTACAGTCCATGGCTTTGCAAAGAGTCCCACATGACTGAGCACAGCTCACACACACAGGTAGCAAGAACCAGCCTCCGTGAGGTTTGTTTCACACTTACAAAAGTTAAAAAATGATCATCTCTTCATAATTCCACTGTACTGATTATGAGATGAGAAGAAAGAAACTGTGAACTACAGAATACATTAAAGCCAATTGTCTAGACGCTCCATAAATGCTAGCATTAGCTCCCTAATCCTAAGTCAGAGGACATGGGAAAATGTTTACAAGCGTGACCCACTTGAGAGAGAGTTCAGTTAAGCCCTCACCTTTCAGACCAGTCCTTACCCTCAAACATGGACCTTGCTATACTGGTCACTTAGCACTTGTCAATACAGAACACAGCCCCGGAAAAGCAAAAAAGATGTTGCTGTTCATGCGATGATTAAAGCCAACCATTTCAAAGAACCATATTTACTTCAGAGTAAATTCCAGCTATATCAGTTGTAGACTGTGTGCTCTAGGGTAAGTTCCTGACCTAACCTTAATTTCCCTTCTACCCAGTAAAGGTAAAGACAGAACACTCTTCCTGAAGTTGTACAGGGATTTAAATGTTATCAGTGTCTCCAGGAATCTGCCATTGGTCCTCAAGGCCAACTCCGCGGGCATCATCTCAGCTTCAGTGCTGGATCAGGTGGATATGAAGTGTAGGTTTGACATCGAATTTCCTGGGCAGTTCCCGTTGGAAGTGTCACAGCAGGAAGTGAAGCGCAAAGCATGTGAGGCGGTGGACACAGCATGAAGGAAGTGAGAAAAGAATATTACGTGCTATGTCACAATGTGGAGGGATCATCAGCCGGAAACAGCAATGGCAGCAGTGACTGAGATTTCCTGAGCAATGTTACTAAATGAACTAGAGCTAGAGAGGAGACAGTATGGAGTATCCCATTTTGTTATTGCGAATCTTTCTTTGTGAATTTGTATCAAGAGATGTCCTCTCAGGACTTCCAGAAGTAACTGGAGAAACACTGGGAGATGGCAGAGGTGGCAGATCTATGATAACACAATGGGGGCCCATCCAGAATCACAAATGATGCTATTTCTCCTTTCTGGGACTTCTCATACAAATAACCAAGGGACGGGCTTGTCCTGTCTTTACTGTTGATGCCCCACTTGTATCTCCTCTGCTTACTGATGAGTTCTGAAGTCACAATGGGCAACATCTATACTTTTCTGGTGGCTTCCCAACTCAAGCTCCTCTCTTCTGCTTCTTTCTTGAGAGTTTTCTCTACTTGGGAGTATGGGGGGACGGGGGGAGGGATGGCAGAGGAGACTGCTCAGCTCACAGGTTGGATGACCTGTCATGAGACGACTCTCACTGAGAGTCAGGAGTTAGTGGATGTGTATTCTATTTTCTAATTGGACATTTCTAGAAGTTGCACTACATACATATATATATATATTTTTTTCTACTTCTCTTTTCATCATGTTTACATTTTATTTTAAACTTTTTTAGCATATTTATAATAGATATTTTAATATCCTTATATATTAATTCTATAATTCTGTCCTTTCTGAGTCTATATCTATTGCTTGAATTTTCCTCCTGGTATGGGTTATGATTTTCTACTTCCTGGCATGTGTAGTAATTTTTGATTAGATGCAGGAAAAATTGTATGTTATGTTGTGGAGCATCAAGATTTTGTTTTCTTCTTTTGGAGTCTTAGCCTCTGTTCTGGCGGGCAGCTAAGTTACTGGAGCATCAGCTTGATCTTTTTGAGGCTTGTTTTTCAGCTTAGTTAGGGTGGTCTAGAGAGAGTTCTTTGCTTTGGAGTTCATTTAATTGTACTGCTGAGTCATATCTCTTTTGTGTCTCTGCTGTATGACCTCAGTGCTCACAAACTCTCTAACAAGTAGGACCTCAAGTGTCTCCCCACTCCAAGAGAGTTTTGAGAACTGCTCAGCCTGAACATCTGTTGATGCCCTTTCCCTGAACTTGTGGAGTTTCACCCTATGCATTTGTGACTTAGTATTGATCAAAGAGATCCAATGAAAGGTCAATGCCAATTTCTAGAGCTCTATTTTCTTTAGGCAACTCCTTCATAACTATCATG